TGACTTTGTAATGTTAAAGTAAGTTTCCACTGGCCGTGATGTATTGACGGATTCAGTTTGCTAATAATTTGTTAACTTCTGCTTCCATGTTCATGAAGCATGCTGATCTATGTTAGTTTTCTTGAAATGTCTCTGGTTTTGGTATCAAGGTGAATTCTAGTCCTTGTGAAATGAGTTGGGAGGTACTCTTCTAGTTTGGTATTTTTTCCCTAAATGCTTGATAGAATCTATCAATGAAGACATCCCAGCCTGTATTTTCTTTTAGGGTAGGTTTTAAATACAAAATCAGTTTCTTTATTAGATTTTTTTTTTTTTTTTTTTTTTAGATGGAGTCTTACTCTGTCACCCAGGCACACCCAGAGTCTTACTCTGTCACCCAGTGCAGTGGCACAATCTCAGCTCACTGCAACCTCCGCTTCCAGGGTTCAAACGATTCTCCTGCTTCCGTCTCTGGAGCAGCAGGGATTACAGCCCAAGCCACCGTGCCCGGCTAATTTTTGTATTTTTGTACAGATGGGGTTTCACCGTATTGGCAGGGCTGGTCTCGAACTCCTGACTTCAAGTGATCCACTGGCTTCAGCTTCCCAAAGTGCTGGGATTACAGGCATGTGCCACCATGCCTGGCCAGTTTCTCTGATAGAGATATTTAGGGATCTTTTGGAAGGAGTTTCGGTAGTATCGTTCCAGAAATTTGTCTGTCTCATCATATAAACATATTGGAATAAAGTTGTTCAAAATAGTTCCGTACTCTCTTAATGTTTCTAGGTACTCACTTTCCTAACTTGGGTAATTTCTTTCTTAATTTGGCTAAAGGTTTATGAATTTTATTGGTTCTTTTTTTCCCCCAAAGAACCAGTTTTGTATCCCTGATTTTCTTTCTGTTGTTTTAGGGTTGTCGTTGATTTACTTTACTTATTTATTTATTTATTTGAGACAGGGCCTTGCTCTGTTTCCCAGGCTGGTGTGCAGTAGCACGATCTTGGCTCACTGCAACCTCCACCTCCCAGGCTCAAGTGACCCTCCCACCTCAGCCTTCCAAGTAGCTAGGACCACAGGTGCACACCACCATGCCCAGCTAGGTTTTGTATTTTTTTGGTAGAGACAAGGTTTTGCCATGTTGCCAGGCCTGGTGACAAACTCCTGGCATCAAGTGATCCTCCGGCCTCGGCCTCTCAAAGTGCTGGGATTACAGGCACGAGCCACCGCACCTGGCCTTATTTTGTTTTAATTTCGTTGATTTCTGCTCTTTTAAAAATATCTTCCCTTTAACCTACTTTGGGTTTAATTCACTTTTTTCCTTAAAGTTTGACTTTAGGTTATTGAATTGAGCCTTTCTTTTTGAAACCAGGCAAATATAAGAATAATTAAGAGAGAGCCAGGCACAGTGGCTCCACCTGTAATCCCAACACTTAGGGAGGCTGAGGCAGGTGGATCATTTGAGGTCAGGAGTTTGAGATCAGCCTGGCTAACATGGTGAAACCCAGTCTCTACTAAAAATAACAAACATTAGCTGGGTGTGGTGGTGCATGCCTGTAATCCCTGCTACTAGGCAGGCTGAGGCAGGAGAATCACTTGAGCCCGAGAGGCAGAGGTTGCAAGGAGGGGAGACTGCACCACTGTACTCCAGCCTGGACAACAAGAGCGAAACTCCATCTCAAAAAACAAAAGAATACTGAATGAAAAATGCAAAATATAATGACTTTTACAAATATATTACAAATTAAAATTGAATTTTGACTTTTTAACCAATATTCTTACATTTGTATCGTGGCTTTTTAAAGGTATTTTTTCTATTGTAGCTTTTTTTTTTTCTGATAATATAAATAATACATGCTGTTAAAAAAATTTCAAAGGGGCTGGGTGCACTGGCTCATTGCCTGTAATCCTAGCACTCTGGGAGGCCAAGGCAGGCAGATCACAAGGTCAGGAGTTCGAGACCAGCCTGACCAACATGATGAAACCCTATCTCTACTAAAAATACAAAAAAAATTAGCCGGGCATGGTGGCACACACCTGTAATCCCAGCTACTCAGGCGGCTGAGGCAGGAGAATCACTTGAACCTGGGAGGCAGAGGCTGCAGTGAGCTAAGATCAAATCACAGCACTCCAGCCTGGGCAACAGAGCAAGACTCCATCTCAAAAAAAAAAAAAAAGTTCAAAGAATATAGAGAATAAGGAATCGTATTAGTCAGGATAGGCCAAATTCTGTTGACTTAATGCAACAAAGGTTTATTTCTTGCTCATACTGTACACCCATTGTGAAATCTCCAGGGGCTTTGCTTCCCACGGTCACTTAAGGACCCAGGTTGACAGAGGCGCCACCATCTTGTATCATCTGGATTGCACTGCCTCCCCTACTCCTCAACCCATGATGGGGAAGATAACACTGAAGCGCCACTCATCTGCAATGAAATGTTTCGGCCCGATAGCCCATTAATTGTAGGGATCAAAGAACAAAAATCCTCCATGGGCAGCACAGAGCAGCAGCAGGCGTATGGGTGGGCACTGTAGTTCTATACTGAAGGAGAAAAGAATCACCGATCCCCTACCCCGAGATAACCCCTACTTGCTGTCTTCTGCCTGGCCTCACTGGCCTTCTTTATCACCAACCTTATGCTTGGGTTGGTGGGAAGTGCTCCTGCGTCTGGCAGGCCACTGATTAATTCTTGGTTGTGTTCTCCTTTGTGCTTCTTTCATCAGATTTTATCAGTGTGTAAATCAGACAGGAAAGGACAAATCAAGAATCTCACTAGTTCTTAATAAGGAAATTTCAAATTTCTTTTTAAAACCTTGCTTTAGACTATCTCTGGAAATATATAGAAATAACTGGTTTTAGTGGTTGTATCTAGGGAGGGAAACTGGGCTAGATAGCGCTGGGCAGAGTGGGGATGTTGGAGGATTGGGTGGGACAGGTCATTTTCACTGTCATACACATCTGTCACTCAAGTTTTGTATCATGTATATTATATAACCTATTTTTTAAAGTATAAAAACATTTCCGTATTTTCTTAATTTCCTATTGAATATAATTGTACTGTGCAAATGAATGAATGCACATTATTATCAGAGTTGAGTGACATTTTATTTTTTTCCACTGAATTTGGATGCATATCAAGTAAAGACCACATTTCAAATACAAACTCTTCAAAGTTTATACTTACCTTTTGGAGGGATAAAATTTCATTATCCAAATGGATAGTCAAGTCACGATTGTATGGGTATCAGTAATCAATGCAGTCAGTGTTAACTGAATGTCGCTTTATGTTTTTGTTATTTTATTTTTTGAGACAGAGTCTCACTCTGTTGCTCAGGCTGGAGTGCAGTGGTGCAATCTCGGCTCACTGCAACCTCCCCATCCCGGGTTCAAGCGATTCTCCTGCCTCAGCCTGCTGAGTAGCTGGGATTGCAGGCATCTGCCACCATGCCCAGCTAATTTTTGTATTTTTAATAGAGACAGGTTTTCATCATGTTGACCAGGCTGTTCTTGAACTCCTGGCCTCAGGTGATACACCTACCGTGGCCTCCCAAAGTGCTGCAATTACAGGCATGAGCCACCACACTTGGCCAGATGTTGCTTTTTCAGGAAGCACGTTCACTTACGTACATTGGGTCTTTTTCTACATTTCTGGTTGGGAGTTAAGCCATAATTGTCGCTTACTGAAGAACATGACCTTTGAAGTCAGACTCGAGGTTGAACTTTACCTAGGTAAATGTGCTTATTAACCATAAGCCTGTTTCCTCATGGGAAAAAAATTCTATGTACCTTTTATGACTGTTTATTAGAAAAAGAGTATGTAAAACACCTGCTAAGGCTTATCTACCACAGGCTTTCTCCACTTATCGGGCTCAACAAATACAACTGCAGTATGAACTCCACTTTCTACACAACAGTAAACCAGAGTGTTCATGCTGTGTTTATCTCCCATCCCATTTAAGGCACATGGTTTTCTTAAACTTTTCTAAGATTGCATGACATTGTGCAACACAACTGATTATAACATTTGAAGTTTTTTACTTTTTTTTTCTTTCCAACTCTTATGAATATACAGAGGACTTTCCGGAAGCTACATGATGTGTGATATTTCAGCTGATTAAATGTGGATGTGTAGAGTGGTGGGAGAAAGGAGCAGGCCTCTGGAAAGGTCAGAAGGCTCTGCATAGCTTTGGGGGGAGAACAAGCTGAAGGCAGCTGTTCTCTGACCTTGAGTTGAGACAGAGGGCAAGGAGTGGGTACAAGGAAGTGTAGGGGCATTTATCTTCAGTAGGCTTGTTTTGTTGCAAACCTTTGATCAGTCAAGTGAGCCAGTGACTGCTCCCTGAAAGGGGGAACAATAATGTTCATCACACCCAGATCTGCTTTGCTCCAGGCTTTCAGCATTATGTCTGTACTGAATAAAACCAAGCAGCTCCAGTTGTTCGAAGCTGCTCTCTTCCGCCACTAGTGCTGGGCAGCCCCCTAGCTGCTCTTACACTGCATACCTGTGTCTGAGTACTCCTTTCATCTGTCTCCACCAGAGTCTTCAGGACAGACCCGGTATAGGTGAGAATTTAGCTGTCTGCTATTAAGCCAGATACTAAAGGAAGTTATGAAATGTGAAACAATGCCACTCTGCTATTTTTTTTGTTTGGTAAAATATAGTAACTTTTCATTGAAAAAATGTTATTTATGTTAGTTAACATGCCACAAGGGTCAAAGGATCCTGAAACCAAACATTTGGAGGACTGGTGCTTTATCCTGTGGGTGAAAGCTTTAAAGCAAGATTTTCTTAAATAAATGTAGTATATGCATCCATCTCTCCGTCTTTGGTGTGCTTTCAGTCCAAGTATCCTCTTTCTTCCTTTTGCAAGGAAGATATGAAGAATGTAAACAGTTAGTTACTGGCTTCAGTCCCGCAGAAAGTTAGTTTTTCTAAGCAGTGATCTGGAACCAGTTTAACTGGACTCTGGCTATTAAGATAGCTCTTAATGATGTTTCGTTTTGTTTTCTATCTTTCACATAGAGCTTACTCACATGGCATTCTGGTATAGCAACATGAAATGCAAGGAACCAAAAGTAACATAATTGAAGGCAGTAAACCAGAAATTAAATAGAAAGATCATCAGTCAAGGAAGACCTACTGGAAAGTAAGTACGCAAATTTTTAAGAATTAATTGGGTTACAAAGAGAAAAACAGAGACTGGGTCAGTGAAGAGAAATCATGGCTTGTTTCCCTGAGGCCCTGCTAATACCTCCAAACTGGGCCAGATCGTAAAGCAAGATACTTTGAAAAGGACTTCCACATTAACTTTTCAGGTTGCATGAGTTGATTCACAAGTAGTTTAAAGAATCATGCAGGAAAAGGACCAGATCTTAGAAATCGCTGAGTCCCTGTATTTACTGTGAACACTTTTCAAGGGAAAATTTGAGTAGCTTATCAACGGATTTCTGTTGTCCAGGGAGTTGTTTTAAAAAACAAAATACTGGAATTTTGAACACTTACGGTGGCTTATGGGGTAATTAGGGCAGAGTATATAAAACTGGTTTCATCTAAGAAAGCTCTGATTCATTTCCATGATCGTGTATTCAGGAACCATTACAAATTGGCCAAAGTCTTGTTTTCCAGTTTCTTCCTTTCACTTTTTATTGCCTCAAGTTGCCTATCTTCCCTGGTCTTATTTTTCTTCTAGTTTCATGATTCTCTTATGTATTCCATGTTGGGCAACGTTTTCTTTCTTCTAGTCATCTTCTGAAGAGGTTCTTGGTTCATACCTTGGTGGCTGTGGCTGATTCTCTTCCTCCTCTGTGGATCTTCCTTATCCTTTAGGATAAGGGTCCTCCTCCTCCCTGCTTTTCTCATCTTCCAGGTGCCCCACCTGTGAGAGTCAATGATGAAATGGAACCTTGGATATCATCCCTTGGATGTTGCCTACTTAGCTTTTCTTTTTGCAACAGTCTTGATCTGGCACCCAGGCTGGAATACAGTGGCAGGATCTTGGCTCACCACAGCCTCAACCTCCTGGGCTCATGTGATCCTCCCACCTTTGCCTTCCAAGTAGCTGGAACCACAGGCTCCCACTACCACACCTGACTAAGTTTTGTATTTTTTTTGTAGAGACTGGGTTTCACCATGTTGCCCAGGCTGGTCTTGAACTCCTGAGCTCAAGTGATCTACCCACCTTCGCCTCCCAAAGTGCTGAGATTACAGGCACGAGCCACGGCCCCCAGCCTGACTTGACTTTCCTTACTTTAGGAGTTATAAAGGTTAAAATCATGTGAGACAGATGATTCTATTATTTTATCCTAAAGTTACATTTTGGAAAAATGGGTCTTTATAAATATGAATCCACACGATTTCCTCACCCTCATTTTAAACCAACATTAGTTGTTTAAAACTAGGCCTTTTTGTTTTTGTTTTTGGCACGAGCGAGACTTCATACGGTCTTACTCATCTTGGCTGCTTTATTCAGGCACCACGACCTCTAAGACCAATGGCATCTGTCACGTCGGCAGCTACGTTTCTGTGCCCTTGTATATCCAATCTGGAATGGAACTTTTTTGGATAGGAAAAAGTTAAACTGTAGTATGTTTGAATACAGGGGAAAAAACTTGAGTGTGGGAAGCACTTGTTTGAGTCTTTTAAATGAAAATAGACTTTGTATTTTATAATTGCCTTTACACACATACACACTTACTTAAGTAGATTCATTACTTGTATACCTTAATAAGTTATCTCGTGACAGATACATGGCCGTGAGAGTAATGGTTAAATCTGTCATCAGAACTGATGGCCCTTTCTCACACTGATTTATTTTAGGCTCAGGGGTACACATGTACCCTATATAACAGATTTGTTATATAGGTAAACTTGTATCATGGTGATTTTTTGCACAGCTTATTTTGTCACCCAGGTACTAAGTCTAGTACCCAATAGTGATCTTTTCTGCTCCTCTTCCTCTCACCCACCAACGTCAAGCAGACTTCAGTGTCTGTTGTTCCCTTCTTTGTGTCCATCAGTTCTCATCATTTAGCTCCCACTTACAAGTGAAAACATGCAGTATTTGGTTTTCTGTTCCTGCCGTTAGTTTGCTAAGGATGACGGCCTCCAGCTCCATCCATGTTCCTGTGAAACACATGATTGCTTTTTTATGACTGCATAGTATTCCACAGTACATATGTACTACATGTTCTTTATCCAGTCTGTCACTGCTGGGCATTTGGATTGATTCCATGTTTTTACTGTTATCACACTGATTACCTTCAGACAAAATTAATCATCAGTTTTTAGGCAAATTTAATTTTTTCAGTTTTTAGACTCAGTACTCCATTTTTTTCCTTAAAATTTGAGAAACAGTATACTTACTACTGTATTGATAACTTCATATGTACCTTTTAGCCTTTTTCTATGTATTTGTTATATGACACGTTGCTGCATAATTTTGTAACCTGCATTTCACTTAACATACTATAGAAATTTATCATGACTTTTTTAAACATGTACCAAATACACAAGGCTTAAAATTTAACAAGTGAAGGTAGAGAGAAAACTATGAAAACAGTCTTCCTCCTGTCCCGAGAAACAATTTTTGAATGGCTGCGTATCATAAAGATTACCATATCCAGGGTGAGTGTCCCTAATCCAAAGATCTGAAATGTTCTAAAATCCCAAACTTTTTGAGCACTGCCATGATGCTCAAATGAAAGTGATTTTGGATTTTTGGATTAGGGATGCATTCAAAATCCAAAATGCTTCTGGTCCCAAGCATTTCTGATAAGGGATACTCAACCTGTGTTTTGCTTCTTTCTTTGAGATAGGGTCTTGCTCTGTCACGCAGGCTGTGTTCAGCGGCACAATCACGGCTCCCTGCAGCCTTGACCTACCAGGCTCAAGCAGTCCTCCCACCTCAGCCCCTCAAGCGGCTGGAACCACCGGTGTGCATCACCATGCCCAGGTAATTAATTTTTTTTTTTTTTGGTAGAGGCAGCCCCCTATGTTGCTCAGGCTGGTCTCCAACTCCTGGGCTCACGCTATCCTCCTGCCTTGGCCTCCCAGGCAAGTGCCACCACGCCCAGCCAACCTGTGTTGTTCTGAACCCATCTCCAGTTGTTGACATTTGTGGTTGGGTTTGTTGTCATTTTTGAGTTTTTGTTGTTATTTATAAATATTGTGATTGAATATTATTCTAAGTTTGGGTCAACTCAGGTTTTTTTAAGCATGTGTTTCCTGAATCTCCTTCCTTTCCTGATTTCTTCTCTGACTTCTTTCATCATGATCTCGTTTTCCTGCTTTCCAATGCACGTATCACTGAAGCCTCAACTCCTGCTCCTTCGCCTTTACCTACCGCTTCCTCATGTTCTCATGTCTCCATACTCACTCCCTGTTCCTTCCCTGTATTCTCCTGTATCTCCACGTGCCATACCTGAAAGACCATCTCCAGAAGAAAAGCCTTTTCTTTCCTTTACCTATGTTCCCATTATTTTCAGCTGAAACTACCTGTTTTCAGAGCTTCAGGGAAAGATTTAATCTGAAGGATTCTGCAACTGAAAAGCATTGAAATTGTGTTAAGGGGCCCCGTAAGCACAGCCTCTAAATGGACAAAAAAGGGAACTGGGTCATGTTGTCTGGAGTCAGAGTGAGGTGGGGTTAAAAGCTCCCTGTAGCTCTCTGTGGTGGTTCTGCATATTGCTACCAAGCTTCTATTTTAAGCATGAGTTTTGGCTGTGGTAGATAAAACCATTTCTCTCCTTATAAGTTGTTCAAACCTGTACTTACATATAAATTACTAACTTCTATATATAACATTTTGGTTTAAAAATCTGAGTTCTAGACCATCTGGGTCTCAAAAAAATGACCAAAGTATACACATTGATTCTTCTTATGTCTGTATTCTGTAAGTATGATGAGACACATAACTCCTATTCATACATTTAACCACTTGGGGGGAATGATTGAATTAGAATTTTTAGAATAGTGGTGCCTGCTTTGTCAAGTTTCAAAAGAGATTACATTAAGGTTTTCTTTTCACTTTTTTTTTTTTTTGCAGGGCTGGAAAATAAAGGAAGCAGTGTTTTATGTGTATTCCAGCAGGTCTTCTTGAAATTTAACTGAAAATATGACTGCTCTCTCTTCAGAGAACTGCTCTTTTCAGTACCAGTTACATCAAACAAACCAGCCCCTAGATGTTAACTGTCTGCTATTCTTGATCATACTTGGGAAAATATTATTAAATATTCTCACACTAGTAATGAGAAGAAAAAACACCTGTCAAAATTTTATGGAATATTTTTGCATTTCACTAGCATTCGCTGATCTTTTACTTTTGGTAAACATTTCCATTTTATTGTATTTCAGGGACTTCGTACTTTTAAGCATTAGATTTACTAAATACCACATCTGCCTGTTTACTGAAATTATTTCCTTAACTTATGGCTTTTTGCATTATCCAGTTTTCCTGATAGCTTGTATAGATTATTGCCTGAATTTCTCTAAAACAACCAAGCTTTCATTTAAGTGGCAAAAGTTGTTTTATTTCTTTACAGTAGTTTTAATTTGGATTTCAGTCCTTGCTTATGTTTTGGGAGATCCAGCCATCTACCAAAGCCTGAAGCCACAGAATGCTTATTCTCATCACTGTCCTTTCTATGTCAGCATTCAGAGTTACTGGGTATCATTTTTCATGGTGGTGATTTTATGTGTAGCTTTCATAACCGCTGGGGAAGAAGTAACTACTTTGGTACAGGCTGTTAAGATAACTTCCTATATGAATGAAACTATCTTATATTTTCCTTTTTCATCCCACTCCAGTTATACTGTGGGATATAAAAAAGAATTCTTATCCAAGCTCATTGTCTGTTTCCTTGGTACCTGGTTACCATTTGTACTACTTCAGGTAATCATTCTTGTATTTAAAGCACAGATTCCAGCATATATTGAGATGAATATTCCCTGGCTGTACTTTGTCAATAGTTTTCTCATTGCTACAGTGTACTGGTTTAATTGTCACAAACTTAATATAAGAGACATCGAGTTACCTTTAGATCCATTTGTCAACTGGAAGTGCTGCTTCATTCCACTCACAATTCCTAATTTTGAGCAAACTGAAAAACCTCTATCAATAGTGACTTGTTAATATTGTGAAGTAAAAGTTACAACTATAGTAAGGTCATAATTTTACAAACAACTCAGGACGTATTAAAAAATAAACTGAACTAAAGCTTTGCCCCTTAACTTTGATACCTTTTCAGAATATGTCTTTTGGGGCTGTGATTACTATTTATTAAATAGTGTTTTATTTTAAAAACAAAAGAATTCCAAGAAGTTTTTATACTTATTAAGGGACACTATATTAATTTGTTATTAACACGAAAAGTGAAATGAGTTAGCATTTGGCCATACTGATGTGTGTGTTACCCCGAAAAACTACTGGATGTAAATCTGAGATTTCACTAACCACTTTAAGGCATCAACCTAAATAAACGTTTTTATTAAATGTTCAAATGACAGCAAGAAAATAAAAACTGTTCTTAAAATGATTTGGTATGAAGTTCAATGTAAGAGGAAGATTAGCTCATTTTAAATTTAGGTAATTTTAAAAAGCACATCTCTGTTACCGCAAATGTTCCTGCAAGAAGAGAGTTTTGGTTGCTCACCTTACGGAACGGGGAGTAGTGGCTAGGTCTCTTCCCATGACTCAGCAGATTCACTTTCATATTATAACATATATCACATACTTGCACGTCACATCATAATCGCATTGGTAATGTATCACATGTAAAAGACATTCCTCGGCACTACTGACAGACATTTGGGGTTGGTTAATTTTCTGTTGTGGGACAGTTTAGCAGCATCCTTGCCCTCTGCCCACTAGAAACAATCAAAAATGTCTTCAGACATGGCCAGACCTGGCCCGGTGGATGGGTGGAGTTGCTTCATTGGAGTAAATATGACTGGCAGAATAATCTTGTTACTTTAGGAATTAAGCTATATAGATATTTTTATCACCATTTATAAATACTGTATTACATAAATCTAAACCTAGCTTTTCCTAAATTCGTGGCTTTTTTTCTATTTATGGAAAGATATATTTTTAACATGACTCAGACTAATATGTACATGTTTACGTGTCATGACAATACTTACCCTTACATATCATACAAATTCATGCAAATATGTTTTTTGGTGTCATTTTTAAAATGCTGGTTGTGATCCACAAAATTGAGTTCATGATCCACAAATAGTTTCTTTCCATTATGTCCTATAACAAGTGCTATGGAACACGAATAATAGCAAAAAGATTAAGGAAATGTTTCCTGTGTGCCAGGTACTGTCTTAAGTGTTCTATATGCAGCAACTGATGTAATCCACACAGCAACTCTGACAGGTACTGTTATCATCCCCTTCTTACAGATGAGGAAATTTAAACATCGAAATTAAGAAACTCACTATCATACAACTAGACATTGGGGAAGCTGGGATGCAAACCCAGAATTCTGGTCCAGAGTTCTTGCTCTCTGCCACTGTATTACACTGCCTTTCATTGGTGCCACTGACTGTTCTCAAAAGAATAGGTTGTTTCAGAGTCAAACGTGAAGACTCTTGTTTCTTAATTATTTTTCACTTGAAAATATCCAATGCCCATGAACATGTTAAGGCCTTATAGGGCTATAATGAATTAAGTCTTTTTAATTAGCTCTACCCATCTATAGAGACAAGTTGAAATGCTGCTGGATAGTCAGGAATTCGAGTAGCAGGTAATACAAACTCACCCTGAGCCATTCTAAGAACAAACTGGATACTGGAAACAACTTGGTAAACTACCAGGAGAATCTCTGAGTTGTCAATTTCCATTTTGTGTGTCCACAAAGTGGGTGTTCTAGCTGCCAGTATCTCAGGGCTTTTATAATTCCAACTTAAAGCATCTCCTAACTTCAAATATACAGTCCCAGGGAATGACTGTTCAACCTGACGTCAGTCATGTCCACCTCTCTATGATCAGGGCCTGTTAACAGAAGACACGGCAGGGAAGAGACATAACCACTATAATGGCTGGTACACTATTAAAAAACTTAGAGAAAACAAGACTAAAAATGACATTATTCTATAAAAACCAAATGAGAGACAAAGTTTAGGATAAGTAATCCTGTGTTTGAGGAAGATCAGGGTGTGTTTAAACAGTTTAGAACATTTAAACCCGGCCCTCTTTCCTTCTGTTACTTTCTCCTCTAAATATATTGCTTTCTAGTTGTTGGTCAAATATGGGACTGAAATATGTTTAAATATATTGAACTCAGTAAAGACTTATACTCTGCAGATTTTAAATCAGATTTTAAAACCATTTCAAATCTCACTGAGCTTTTGTTTACACAGAGGATTCCCCATGTCTCATAAGCTTAAAGAAAAAAAATTACTGAATAGACCAGCCAAATGGAAGAGGCTTTTATTTGTAAAGAAATGAACTTACAACTGGTCTACAATATATTATTGTAATATAAACAATATAAATAAATGATCCTGTAGGCCCACTAATCTTCCATCCAGACCCACATGAAGCAATGTTAACAATATTCTATATGAAAATGTGCAGGTAACAAAGGTGCAATTACAAGCAAGTTAAGCAGCAGAGTATAAGGTGCTTTAATAGTTAATGTTGCCATCAACAAACATTTAAATGCTCAATTTACCTCACTGAATACAGACACAACAAATATGAAAATCTAAATTCATACACATGCTACTTAATATGAAAGTGCTTTCTCTTTTTTAAAAAAATACACCAAATGGACACTTTTTACATAGATCAAATGTGCTCTTACAATGCAAAATTAACCTTCATTTTCAGGTTATACATTTTAAAACTGTAGCTATCAACACCAATCTAGGAACTCTAATCCTAAGAGTGCTAAAAACTATTCCATTTCTTGTAAGGAGGATTCTAATACAATATCCAATGTAGAGAATACATCTATATATAATCTGAACATTTGTTTTCTGTAAAGATAAAAAATGTTTTCTTTCCCCTTGGTGATCTTTGTTCATCCTGGGTGGATCATCTTGGGGTTTAAATAATATGAAAGTTCTGTTTTAGAACAATGGAAGGAACCAAAAGGAGGAATTAAAAAAAATTGGTTAACATGTGCTTGAAGTATCCAAAAAACACCAGTTAATCACAATTGGTCTTTGTTATAATTAACAAAATTTTAATAAAAAGACAAAAACGTACTAATTTAATAGAGGCTTGAAATGCCTGCCACCACTGTCACTATCCACCTATCCAACCTTTACTACAAGCATAAGCCTTACTTTGAGGGTAGTTTTTGGAACTTATTTTGACTTTTTCCCCTATAGGAAAAACAAAGACTGGCCAATATAGTGAAACCCCATCTCTACTAAAAACTACAAAAAATTAGCCAGGCATGGTGACGTGCACTTGTAATCTCAGCTACTCAGGAGGCCAAGGTGGGAGAATCGCTTGAACCCAGGAGGCGGAGGTTGCAGTGAGCACTCACACCACCGCACTCCAGCCTGGGTGACAGTGCGAGACTCCGTCTCAAAACAAAACAAAAACTGCAAAAATGATTAACAGACTTTTTAATAGATATTTTCATTCTGTATCTTTATGGAGAATGTTAGTATCAACTGATGTTAATATGTAAAGCTGTGTCAACAGGAATTACAATGTGATTCACAGCATCCCAAAGTGACAAGGAATGGACCTTAACCCAGTAAATTATTCTCCCATTCAATAGTTACCCCCCAGATACTGACCAATTCAAGCATGGAACTGTTTTATGTTCACCAGTTCTGCATTTTAAAGGATGCCCTTTTACTACATATGTGCTTTCTAGAATATTACTTGTTTTAAAAGGTGGATATTTGTAACAGCTTAAAATACATTTAACTTTTATTTAGTGTAATCTTTCTTAATTTAAAAACAAAATATAAATGAACACGTCTGTTCCAATGATCTACTTTGAGATTTTTCAGTTTAACAAAGTTGCTGCATTGTCAGACAGCTGCAGTGGCTCAGACTGTTTCTGGGGCTGAAGCAGGTGAACCAGTTGAGGTCAGGAGTTCGAGACCAGCCTGGCCAACATGGTGAAACCCCGTCTCTACTAAAAATACAAAAATTAGCCAGGTATGGTGGTGGATGCCTGTAATACCAGCTACTTGGAAGACTGAGGCAAGAGAATCACTTGAACCTGGGAGGCAGAGGTTGCAGTGAGCCGAGATTACACCACTGCACTCTAGCCTGTGTGACAGAGCAAAACTCTGTCTCAAAAAAAAAGCTGTAGTTAAAAATGTACAATATCAACACTAGCTTTTTTTGATTACGCCACATGCGTTTTGTAGCAACAACTATGGAACAGATTCAAGTGTCAAATAATGCCATGAAATGTGGGCTGTCACCACAGTCTCAACATGTAAGTCCTTAATGTTAAGTCTTCTTAATTTTGTAACTTAATCAGGTATAGGACCAACTGGTGTTTAGCAGGTGAACTCTGTTATAAAAATTATGATATGATTCACTCAGACCTCTTAGATATCATCTAGCCTAACCCTTTACCCAATGCATAAAAATATTCCCTCCCAGTTCCAAGTTTATTAAGAGTCCATCTCAGTATGTTAAGTAGTAATGATTATGTCCATATTTATTTAAGCCACAATGAATTTTTTGGGGAAAATATTACTGATTACTAGTTCCTCAAGTCATGTATACCACACACTACACATATAAGTGTTCAAATGTTTGCTAAATGAATATAAATACATGAATGACAATATTCATATGTGTTCATATATTCAGTAGCTAACCACTAAGGAGAATTTAGGAAAATGTCCTCATTTGCTTGTTAGGTATGAATTTTCTACTTTAATTCTTAGGAGAACAAAGACTCTAGGTGACCCAAGAAATGGATGCTTATTAAGTATAAAATAAACCCTTAAAAAGGGAAAGAGAATGAAGTAAGAGCAACCCCACTACATGGCCTAGAATCATAGTTTCAGAGCTGGGACATACCTTAAAGAGGAATTAAACCAAAGTCAGCATTTGAATAGTACAGGCACCATATGGTATATCTGGAAGCTGTTAAAATCACAGAGCTAACCCAGTGAAATAAAACCCCAGTCGCCAAACCAGTGTGTTGTATCCTCACTCACCATCTTAATTCATCTATTATTTACTACTGAAGTAGATTATTTACTGATTATTTAATACTACCCAAAACAAAAAATACTTTCAAGAGAAGCATTTTAAAGATTTATACACTAGATACTTCTGGTTTACTTGAGGCAAGACTAAAAAATTCTAAAACAGGTTGATGTTTAACTTCGCTAATGATGAGATGCCTCACCACGTTCTCATAAACACCAACTTTCTCACCACTGTCAGTTAAAGCTCCACAAAGCATGGATTTAACACTGATAATATTCCATGAAATATAACTTTTAGGCCAATAAATGATGGTGACTATCAATCCTTGACTACTGGAGTAAATGTAAACAGGTGCTCTAAAAGTACTTGTTACCTCACTCT